CTTCTCGTGTTTCAGATCGCTTCGCGCGCTCCGCCGGCCCATGTTGCCTCGCCGCTGTCGTTTGTCGGGGTGTTGTTGTTGCTGTTGTTGTTGCTGTTGCTGTTATGTTTGCAGATGTTGCTGTTGTTGTTGTTGCTGCTGTTGTTGTTGTTGTGGTTGTTGTTGTGGTTGTGGTTGTGGTTGTGGTTGTGGTTGTGGTTGTGGTTGTGGTTGTGGTTGTGGTTGTGGTTGTGGTTGTTGTTGTTGTTGTTGTTGTTGTTGTTGAATTCTCATTTCTGAAAAATCATTATTGTTGATCCCCCCACCGGTGCATACGGTTTTTTCTCAATCAAAGTGTGCCCCTCGACGCTCGCACCCTGGTTTTTTTGACAAGGAAAGTCTTCCTGCTCAAACTGAGCCCCTGGCCCCTGGGTTACAACAACAACGGCTCCCGCTTGAGACTTCCTTTACACTTTAGCCAGGACCCCCGCTCCCGCCCGAGAGTTCCTCGCATTTTATGTAGGAATCGCGCTCTCGCTTGGAACTTCCTTACAATTTACTCAGGAATCGCTCTCCCGGCGCTCTGGAGTCGCGGTCTCGGTGGAGACTTGCTTGCGACTTACTGAAGAATGGCCTTGCGTTGGGGTTTCCTGCAATTTGCCCAAGCGCCGCGCCTCCGACACCCAGGCACCCAGGAGTCGCGCCCGTTGTGGCCCCATGTGCATGCCCTTCGTGGCCCCGCTGTCGCCATTTGTGTCCCCCTCACTGTCCTACGTGGCCCAGTTGCTACCCTCAGTGGCCCCATTGTTGCCTTCTGTGGCCCCGCATTATCTGCACTTCGTGGCCCCCGCTCGTTCGCGCTCTTCGTGGCGCTTCGTGGCCCTTCGTGCCCTTCGTGGCCCTGCTGTCGTTCTCTCTCGCTCTCGCTTTCGCTCGTCGTCGCCGTCGTCGTCGTCGTCGCCGTCGTCTTCGACGTCGTCGTCGTCGTCGTCGTGGTCGGTCCCCTGTCCGTCCCTCTTGGGGTCGGGTCGACGGTCCGCGGCCGCCCCGCCGATCAGCGCTGCCGCTGGCCAGGCCGACCGTCCGCGGCCGCCCCGCCGCTTGCCGGGGCCCGGCCTGCAGGGAAGAAAGACATACCCCCGAAAAGGGGTTCGATCGAAGACGAAGAGGGCGGGTATCGAGGGTTTGGGAAATACGGGTTGTGGACACTCGAGCATATAAGGGCGAACAGTCTTAAAATGATTGTTGTTGTTGTTGTAGTTGTTGTTGTTGTTGCTGTTGTTGTTGTTGTTGTTGTTGTTGTTGTTGTTGTTGTTGCTGTTGTTGTTGTTGTTGTCCATGCGGTGCCGTTGGGTGGCTGCCATTTTTCGGAGGCGGTGGGTGGTGGGTCAGAGGCCTCATGGATGTCGGTTGGGCTCTCGTGGTTGGCCTTTCGGGGGCCTCTGCGAGGCAATTTTGAAGCCTCTTGGGGGCCGTGTTGGGACCTCTTGGGGCCTCTTGGGGCTGCTTGGGGTGCTTTGGGGGGCCTCTTGGGGGCCTGCTGGGCCTCCTGGGGGCCTCTTGGGGCTGAAGGCTGGACTTTTCGGGTCCTTGTCCCCTTCTTGGGCCCCTCTTGAAGCCGTTTTGGGGCCCTCTTGGGCGCCTCTTGGGCTGTCTCGAGGCCATCTTGGGGGCGTGTTGGGCCGTTTGGGGACGATGTTGGAGGCCTCTGGGGCAGTTCTGGACGCTGTGAACACCCAAACGTCGCACATGCGAAACATGTACGTTTTCCCAAGGGCATGGGACGATTTGTGCTTGTTGGCCCTCTTGGAGAGCCTCTTGAAGCTCTCTTGGGGCTTTTTCGCGGCCTCTGGGGCCATCTGGGGACCCTGAGCGTCTTGTAACGGTCTTTCGGCGACTCGGGGCCTCCGTGTAGGGGGAGTCGGCCGGGCATCGGCCAGGGTACTTTTCGTCCAAGGGTGCCCAGGGGCCGCCACGCGCGCGCGAACTAATACTGCTAACCTGTTACCAGAGATCTTAGCACGTCTCTGGCCCGTTGGGCCGGCGAATTTTTTCCCGAAACAAAGGGGCAGAAGGAGGAGTCCGCTGCCCCTCAAGAAGGCTATCCCGATCGCGCGCTCTACGAACAAACGCTCGGGAGAGACACCACAGCGAGCCAACTCAACAGGCTGTCATGCGAGCGTGGCCGAAACACCTGCACCTTCTCTTCTAGCACGAGAAAAGACACACGAATAAGCTTTCGGGGCTCCGCGCGGACTTCTTCGATCTGCGCTGGTCCTGCCCGGCGGCGCCTCCGGCGCCGCCCCTGGCGCGCTTCGCGCGCCAGGATGGGGGGGTCAATGCCGATCCCAGAAATCCGCGCGGGGATCCGACTGTTTCTGTTTGTGCAGAGTCTACTTGTTCGATTTCGCGCAGGCGCATAATTAGCCGGGATTCGGACTCGGACTCGAAACGGCTGCGAAGCAGCATGTATGGAAAACTGCTTCGGGAAAGGACTCTGCTCAATTCTGCGAAGGTGCTCTCGCAAACCCTTCGAAATCCTGTGAGGCCCACACAACTTTCCCAGGGTCCATATCTGGAGGAGCCGTAGAAGCCACAAGTACGACAGATCCACTTTTTACTCCTCCTCCTGCTCCTCCTCCTGCTCCTCCTCCGTGAGGGGGGATCGGCCTTCCCAAACAGAAAAACAACAACTGTGCGAGCATAGAGGATCAAATGTCTGTGCAGATCTCTCGGGCCGGCGCCGGGAGTCCCCCTCTCTGCGGCGCCGGGGGCGCCGCCAGGGAGGGGTCCAGCCCCGAACAAGCAACCCGTGCGACCCCAACAGTTTATGCCTAGCCAGTTGTTGAACTGTTGCTGCTGCTGCTGTTGTTGCTGCTGCTGCTGTTGTTGTTGTTGCTGTTGTTGCTGTTGTTGTTGAACATTATTAATTCTAAAAAATAATTATTGTTGGGGCCCCTGGTGCACGGCCCCCCTGCGCCGCCTAGGCCGCAGCTACATTTTCATCATTTTCGTGAGGAAGCCTCAGGTAATACGATGTCATCAAGATCCGGTTGTTTTGTTGTAATCCGTTTTCCCTTGCAAAAAACACTATAAAATGACATTTCTTGTTCTAATATAATCAAATTTCAAGAATCCCTTGCAAAAAATAAGGTAAAGTGGACATTCGCGCGCGCAAGACGAAATCCTTCCAAAAGCTTAGTGTTCGGAGCGATTTTAACATAAAAACATCAAAAAACCAATGGTTTTTCAACAAAAAAATGTCAAAATCTCATCCCGCGCGCTCTTGCGGATTCGTAGGAAAACCAACACTTTTTAAACATTTCTGTCAAACGGGCTTTTGCGAGCAACTTTTTCGAACTTCTGCGACAACGGTTGCGCACCTGCCAGGGCCATCATCCCTGTCAAATAATACCATGTGACCACTATCTTGCGAGTACGTATCATCTCATGTGTGTCGTGCACACTATCAAATGTAACAGAGTTGTGTATTCCCATCATCCCAGGAACTTGACCCAAAAATGTGACCAACTCCGCTCTCTCTGTCTCTCTCTCTGTCTGCTCTCTGTCTCTCTCTCTGTCTCTCTGTATTATGTATTGTATGGCACAATTGCACCATGCTGGGCACATGCGCGCCCCGAATAAGTGACCAAGTTCTGTGGGTGTGTACCCCACGCCAGTGTAGTAGCCACGGTCGTCCGCACGCCACGAAGTGAAGTGTCCCAACGTCATAGGGCGGGAAGCTGGGTTTGGGTGGTCGCGAAGAGTCGTTTGGATATTTGGTAGAGCTTGTAATGCCCCCCCACGAAGTGGGGGTATTGCCTGGTGTCGTATGAAAACCCTGGCACTGGGGAGAACACCACGCGTTCGGGTAAAATGATTGTTGTTGTTGTTGTTGTTGTTGTTGTTGTTGTTGTTGTTGTTGTTGTTGTTGAACATTATTACTTCTAAAGAATAATTATTGTTGGGGCCCCTGGTGCATGGCCCCCCCGCCGCGCCTAGGCCGCAGCCACATTTTCATCATTTTCGTGAGGAAGTCTCAGGCAAAACGGGTTGGTCCGGATCCGGTTGTTTTGTTACGGCCCGCTTTCCCTTGCAAAAAATAAGCTAAAGTGGACATTTCTTGTTCTAACATAACCAAACTTCAAGAATCCCTTGCAAAAAAAAAGGTAAAGTGGACATTCGCGCGCGCAAGACGAAATCCTTCCAAAACCTTAGTTTTCGTAGCGATTTTAACATAAAAACATAAAAAAAAAAAAAAAAAATGTTTTTTTTTCTAAAAAAAAAAAAATCAAAATTTCATCCCGCGCGCTTTTGCGGATTCGTAGGAAACCCAACACTTTTTAAACATTTCAGTCAAACGGGCTTTTGCGAGCAACTTTTTCGAATTTCTGCAACAACGGTTGCGCACCTGCCAGGGCCATCATCCCTGTCAAATAATACCATGCGGGACACATTCGTTTTTTCTTCGCGCGCGCACGCCGTCGTCGTCGGCCGCGGGGCCCTGAATAGTAGCCACGGTCGTCCGCATGCCACGAAGTGAAGTGTCCGAACGTCATAGGGCGGGAAGCTGGGTGTGGGTGGTGGCGAAGAGTCGTTTGGAAATTTGGTAGAGCTTGAACCGGCCCCCCCACAAAGTGGGGGGGTATTGCCCGCCTCCTATGAAAACCCTGGCACTGGTGAGAACGGAGTGTCCCCACGTGCTAGTAATTGTTTTTGAACATTATCTAAAGAATAATTATTGTTGGGACCCCTGGTGGACGACCCCCCCGCCGCGCCTGGGCCGCAGCCTCATTTTCATCATTTTCGTGAGGAAGTCTCAGGCAAAACGGGGGAGTCCGGATCCGGTTGTGTTGTTACGATCGGTTTTCCCTTGCACAAAATAAGGTAAAGTTGACATTTCTTGTCTAACATAACCAAACTTCAAGAATCCCTTGCAAAAAATAAAGTAAAGTGGACATTCGCGCGCGCAAGACGAAATCCTTCCAAAACCTTAGTTTTCGTGACGATTTTAACATAAA